TACCCATATGCTACCTAGAGGTGACTGATTTTATACTAGAGACTAACGACATTGAATTACTAAATCTCTATTCTCTTTTTCAAGACTGTAAATGTAACTTGCTAGTGAATGCTAACAAGTGTGAAACTTGGATCTACAATCTGGCAAATGAAACAAAATTGGGAGTAACTGGAGCATCAAGACGTCATTAGAAATGAGAAGCTGACTGTTCTAGGCGGTACCTAACTAATAGGGGGAAAATATCATTCTTGTTTGGCTTCCAATGAACTTCATATGACTGTTCTAGAACTGTACACTGTTTATTACGTGATAACGATATTAATGTGTTGGGAAAATGAGCGTATGCATATAAATTAGCAAAATATCGTCAACCAAAAATGTGTACAGTGCAGTTTAATCAAGTTACCTTCTTAATTGATCTTAGCTACTAGAATGTCTATCAATATTCTTCAGAACGCTTCCATACAGGTCATAACCATAGATTACTTCAAGTTCTGTAGTCTACTAGTTAAGTTGTGTAAAGCAAATTATGAATACACAAGTGGATAGATGTTAGGAGTCAGTCAGCAGGAAGCCCTCAGTCTAGTTCTTTTACTTGCTTTCACTTGTCAGCAAGGGGTATTCTCAATCCTAAGAAGATTCTGTGTCCTTTCAATCCATGCCACCAAATATTGAAGTCAGAGGATTCAACACTAAGTTACTCAGTTCACGTACAGCTGGGCCATTTATACATAGCTTCTGAACTGAGAATCGAGTGACAAGTTCGAACAAGCAGGAAGCTTATGTCCAAGACCTCCTGCTGAATAGCACCAACATATGGTACATATCGGTGTCCTGTTACTAAGCTAGTAGTTATATTGATCAATAGACTTCGGTCAGTGGCAAACACTTGGTACTTAACAGCTACACCTATGACCAACCGACCACCAGTTCGTACGTACGTGGACAGAATTTAGTGAGTGGTGCAGTTGAGTTTATGGACTAGTTCTAATGAAAATAAGATCACTGAAAAAGTGATGTGGACTCAGGTAGAATGGTTCACAAAGCATATTGGCTAACTTTTCAAGCCGTTTGACAAAGCTGACAACTTCATATAATATTTGAGCAAAAATTTAATTGAATAAATGCAACAACCACTTCCCCATTCGCGCATTAAAATTCAGATAACATTTCTGAGACCATTTGATTTATTCACTACCAGTAATCAAATTACGAGTTGGTTACATATTCAACGGGTTTACATACTGACTAGCTATCCTGTTGAAATTAGCATGAATTTTCTAATTTATTCATCAGCAAACTGTCAGACTACACATACAACCACAGAATAAAAATAAACTCAAAGTGGTGATGTCTCATCTACAGTCAGTTAAAGGAAAGTTATTTCTCAGAGTGAAAACGGTTTTCCACTTCATAATGTAGAAAAATCATTCTTCAGTGGATATGTTTTTTTTTTAATGCTTTCAAATTTACCTCTACGCTTAAAACATTTACTCAGTGAAATCAGCTTGATTCTAAAGTAAACTGAATTACATGTATCAGAAAAAAGAATAAAGATGTATATATTTTTAAGTATATCGGGTTTTGTTTTCCAGTTTCTTTATTCTGAAGATGTCAGAAGTTGTAAGTTACTCCTTATCGACAGAAAAACTCTATGCTTTTTTAATGAATAACCTCGCCTAGGTAACTAGTTCACAAGTTACTAGCCGGTCCTAAGCCCGGATAAAGAGGGAAAGTTGGGCATAGGGCTGGCAACTCCACCCCATAAAACCAATTCAACTGCTAAAGAAACTGGATAATGCAGCAAAGTGTTAGGAGCGAAAAGATGGGCATAGGCTGGCTAGACAGATGAAGAGACCCCACAAGAAGATTTGGATTTCGCCACCGATGATAATTTATGTCTAATGTGTAATGTCCCACAAACTCGAAGATCTACAGGCGAAAACCAACGAGTTGACAGAAGAGTCAGGGCAGCGAAGACGGGACTTTCTCCAGGTGAATGCAGGGAAGACGGAAGTGATGAAGTTACCCACTCAACTACAACAACAAGAAGAAGAACAAGAACAACGAGAACAACAAGAGGCACCAATCACCATGAGTGGGAGAAACCTAGAGGAAGTAGTCTCTTTCACCTACCCACTTACCTAGGCAGCATCCTTTTAACTACAGGCATGTCACAGGCACACGATGAGGATGTAAAAGCCAACCAGAATCGGGAAGACACCAAGATAGGCCTACTTTCATTTATCTGAAATGAGTGTCGAGGTTTACTGCAATGTACTCCACTCCACTCAGCATAAAGCGTGAACAATATTCGGATTTGCAACACCAACTTCAATCAAGTCAGTGCACCTATGTGATGGTTGAGAGACTAGGTGCGTGACGAAATGGATTTCCAACAAACTACAGACATTGATGAACAGCTGCGTACGTTGACTTGATACTAAAGGTCAGATGGTCAGATGGCCAGAATACTAAGGATAAGCAACGAGGAAGTCTGGCTGGCTGGCAACCAACCAACCAAAAACCTATCGAGCAACAAATATACAGAAGAGAGTGGAGACGAGTGTGGCACCCGAGGGTGACATAGAGGGGATCATGTGAGGAAGAAATGAATGCTTTCGGGCAGTCGCAGATCTACGTTGAAAAGACTGCAGAGAAGAGAGTGGGATGGTGACGTGCTACTGAAGCCGTATGTTCCACTAGAAACCCAAGGGACAAATAATAATAATAACTTTAAAGAATAATCTACATACAAAAATATATGAAATCATATACTTCTTAGCAGGTTTTGCTTTATCAGGCTTTGTTAGCAATTATTAATGGTACAACACACTGCTGAGAAGTAGTTAACGCCTTGAAACTGTTCATCTGTCTCATTAGATTATTGATTACGTTTCCATATGTTTAAATAATCCGTTAAATGAAAGATTATTCAAGGCTTATTTCCAGGTAGCTCCGATTCTTGACTAAACACATCCACCGTAGATGTTAGTTGGCTAAAGTCAATCGATGAGAAGCCTTCAATCTAGGTCTCATGCCTGTTCGCCCTCGTCAGAGAGGCAAAGGAACTGAAGTTCCTTGTTATATTCGAACTCGCGTTACCACCGAGCTATCCGGGGGACGCCCGACCTGCTGCAAGATTGAGTTACATACACTACTTGATAGCATGAGAGCAGCCAGTTTCATATTGCCCAGTCCTGGGTACTGACCGAATTATATTTATCCCTTTTGTAATGTGGCCATCAAGCTACAAGGCTCAGTGTCTAAGTGCACAATGATAGATGCTAGTTGGTTGGATGCAATCGGCAAGAAGCACAGCGATGCTAAACCTTCTAGCTTGATGGCCACATTACAAAAGGGATCGATGTAATTCGGTCAGCACCCAGAACTAGACAACATGAAATTGCTTACTCTCCAGTGGTCAGTCAATGTACATTCACTATAACCTGTTGTTTTGAGTTTGTTTCTATTTGCAGTTGCGGTTCTGAAATAACTTAGTACCTATTTTTTTAACATAAGGACATTTCAAATAAAACTACTTGTTCATGTGATTTACCGTCAGGTTCTTTCACTAACATCTATGGATGAAAATACTGTTTTGTGAGATAGTATTGTATCTTTGTGTGTCCGTACTAATGATCAGTGTACGTACATAAGAGAATAGTGCACACTTTCTTAATTTACATATGTCAACCATTACTTTGCTGAATTTTAAGTGGGCATGATTTCTAATAAAATAGACTAAATAATGCATTTGATCGATGTTTATCCTTTTCCCCAATAATTACCTGATCCCTGAAAATCTTATCGCTGTTTACACACACCCGTCAAAGATGTACACTTTCATAACAGAGGACTTTTATAGTGAATTAATGAAATCTACCCACTGGTCGGTTACATTGCAACTTATCAGTTATTCTGATGAGAACGTAGGATACTAATGGATGAAATTCACAGAGTTGAAACACTAGGTTGTTGACAAACTGGGGTCATAATTCTTTAGTCTATTGCTAACATTTTTACTATGAAAGGAAGATTTGACAATCAGCTGTCAAAGAAGAATCATAACTATATGAGTACAACTGTAATTAAATACAAAATCAGTTGTCATTTAGGCCAACCAACATAGTTGTTTCTAAAATATTCAGTTGAATATGCGCACAACTACCACTATACACATACACACCCCACGGACAACTTTTGATGAATAACAAACGTAAATACCATCTTTCTCCGTGGGCGGATAAAAAGAGGAAAATCCCTCTCTATATCAGGTCAAATTAATTTTTTTGATAGGGTGTAGAAGATACTTTTTCTCTCCTAAGTTATATCCAATCGGAATGAAGGAATTATGTGACCAATATTATCTACAGGCACGCCAATAAATAGTCTATACATAAAATACACTATTAGCATATTTAGCATTCTTAAGAGTTGAAATAACGGCATATACTAAACTCTGTCCTCCCCTATATCAACTGTATATTGTAGAGTTAGGGGAAGAAAATTCCTGTTTCTGACTAACCTCTGTTAGAGAAGAAAACTTAAGAGAAGAAATATAAGTGAAGAAAACAGATGATAACTTATAGATTGTGGGCGTCAACCGAATGCTTATAATAGATAGATCAGACAGATAGGCAGAGAGAAACAATAGTGAAAGTAATATAGAGAAAAATTAAGTGTATACAAATTGGTCCTTCTTTCTTTTTCACTCATAAAGAGAAAAACAGCAATGTACTAATCAAAAACTTGCCATACACCTTTACTTTTTATTGGATGTGTGTGTTGTAAGAACAAAACAAGCGAATAAATACGAGTTAACGTTGGACAGTGGATTATTATCAATATTATATTATTAGTCTGTAGTATACACGTACTTTTTTCAACTTACACCAGAGGTTTGGAATCAAAAGGCCTTCAAAACAGTCAACGGTATTTTTCTTTGGATAAAAAGAATCATATTTTTGGCGGGGAATTGCGGTAGAACTATCATAAGTATGCTGAATATACTGGAAAAGAACCGAATACACAATTATCTTTTCGAAAGTCCTGACATATTATCGACAACAAATGAACTCACAAAGCTGTTCTCAGTATTTCTTCAGCAACAACAATTAAAGCATATCAATGAAGAAATGAAACAACAAAGTCATTGTCAGACAGTTTCTATGGAAAATTCACTGGTTTATAACTTTCTGTATCGAACAGAATCTTCAAATGATCCTTCAGCAATAGTCACTCGACAGGTGTATCAAGGGGAACAGAAAGTTCCTCCAAAAAAGACAAAACAATTAAAATTTGGGATTGACACAATTCTTGGTGGTACGGATAGCAAAAAAGAATCATCTAAAAATCTAAATGAAATTACTAATCATTTAAAAAAGATTCTTGAACTGAAAACGGAACAAATGTCAATGAAGACTGTTAATCATATGACGACAATGAATGAGAACAGATCCGTTTTTACGAATATATCCTCTGAAAAACATAAACATCTATCCAATAATACTTCAGTGAATGTCATCTTTCCTACATCTGAAGTGATTAACCAATGTCTGTGAGTTTATTAACGCAGTCGGCAAACTCTTCTTTCTCTTCCGCTCTTTCCAATATCCACAGCCATCAGTATTCACCGACTTTGTGCATACAACCAGTGTTACCACCACCACCACCACCACCGCCACCATCATACCTTTCACAGGTTTCTATGCCTTTCACTACTGAGACAAAGGCATCACCAGTATCATCAGGTTCATCATCATCTTCTTACTTATCACCAACCCTGCCTATGGAAAAGGTATGCTTCAGTGACTCCCCTCTCAAACTATGGACAAACTCCCAACTGTCTAACAGGCTGTCAGTGTCACAAGAATCTCAAGATTCGCAAATCCATGAAACTCCTGACTTCAAGAAATTAGATCTCAGTTATTTATCCAATGACTCAAATGTGAACGTTATGAAAGTAAGTGAACTGAACTCTAAAACCAGTTTGTTATATTACTGTCAAGATGATCTGTTCAGTTTACGTAACTGTAAGTAACCTCACGTATGACTTGCTGTGTAACTTGATCAACAATAGGGTAATTGTTTGAATGGTGATCGGAATAAATTAGCTTAGATGTATGGTCTGAACTAAATGCATAGTATTAATTTTTCTGCAACTTACTTCTGCTCTTCATCAAGAATGTGACAAATTTTTGTCAGAAACTTATTGTTTGTATATTCAAAATGATTGAGATCTTTGCATGATTGCACATTACACGCATGTGTGCTCAAGTCATTAGATATTGCATATCGAAGTTCTTCCTTGTTTGGACATTTAGAAAAACTCGTAGGATTAAACTTCTTCAAATCCATTATCAGTTTGATTGTCTGCGGTAGCTGCGGTTTTACAGACTTGTATTGATAGTGAGTGATGATTGGAGGTGGGATGAAAACCTGGTCTACAGCAGGATTCGAACTAGCGACTTCCGGCCAGACCCGAAGGCAAGTATTCTGAAGAATCTACGCGTCTAGCCTAAGGTTTCGTTTACACTTCCTACTGATAACTTTATACTTGGTTTCAGATACTCTCCTCTACTATGACCATATAAAAATTCAAGTTTCAGATGTTTACTAAAGTTAAATAAAAGAATGCAGACGGCCAGGTTGAGACGAATGGATGGTTTGCTCTGGATATAGTATAACGAATAGTGAACAGTTTTGACATCATATGGAATCGAATTCAGATCCGTCAGGTCAGACTTCAAGCACATCATAGTTAAGCTAAATGAAGAGGAGTTAATTTGAACTAACTTCTCAATAAAAGTATATAAGTTTTTCTGATGTTTAAAAATGAAATGCAGAAATGCCTTTGTTCAACAACACTATTAAAAGTTACTGATAACGGATTTTGAAGATAGTTTGTCCAACAGTGTAGCACTTCAAACTTCAATTTGGGGAAAATCTCAACGTAAAGTGTCCATCAGAAATTTAGGAGACGAACTGATACTGACTATTTACATTCAAACTCTGATTATCACATTTCCTATCATTTGCTCAAACAGTATCCATAACTCCAGGAAGTGATTTCGGTACTTATCTTGATCCAAAAATACTTTCTGTTAATTTTAAAACAATTACTCCTTTAGAATGGAAAATCACTTCCAAGTCTGTTAACAAGTGATTTAGAAAAAGAAACTATATAAAGGAACATTAGCAGTTCCACAAAAGAGGTGGGTTACGTAAGTGAGAAATGAAAATAATCAAATTCATCTAGTCTAACACTACTAGATACTAATGATGAATAGTAGCAAGTAACAGAACCCAGAAATCGCTTTTTTCGCACCTGGGACTTATCATCCAGATGCAGTTATCTCCTTGTGCTTTATATTTTCCCCATACAGACTTAAACCCAGCACTAACCTTCTCTGCCTTATCTACTAAGTTAGTAAGTAACGATATACATTTGTTGCGTGACGAGTACAGTTTGATTTGGTAGCCTGTAGTTCCCTATCGTTAACTGGGTTGGGTTTGTAGGTCTCTATTTGCACATGTGCTCCTGTGTGGATGCCGCGGTACTGACGGTAATTTAAGTTTGATTCTAATGATCGACAGTAATTATCAGTGGAACCCAGGATGCCTGTTTCGTCCTACTTAGGACCAGTCAGACATCTAAACAAAATCAGTCTCTTAACAATTTCCTCAATCGTATGTTATTGCAATTTAGACTATACTCAGGATGACGCATTAGGTCACCAAAAGTTATTCGAGGTCAGAGATAACAGACCAATATATCCATCCTATTCTGAAAATCTTCATCAGAATACCTTTTACAGCTTTGTTAACACTGAGTATACAACTCTTACTGCAGAAAAACAGGAAGCTTGAGGAATCAAAACTTAACACTTTATTCAGTACTGTTATAAGAGTTGGAACTAACTCAGAATGCTTGATGTACTTGGAAAAACTAAACTGTTAGATCCAAACCCTAGAAAACCTTCTGTTTTACCAGTCACTGATGAATTTTTGAGATTTATATGCTTTTAAGTTAAAGCAAGATCTCCAAAGTATTTAAATTTGTATTGAATTCAAAGGATCAGACCTATCAGTTTAGTATAAGTATTTTAAAAATTAATTCTACAGTCTAAAACACTCACTGTTACCTTAAGTAATCATAAATCTACAATGACGCCGATTTTCGTAATGACCTTATGTAATATGTTCTACGAAAATATGGTTTTGTGGGGGTAATGTTCAACTTTACTCGAAAGAACTACGGCAATCGCGAATTTTAATTTTATTCACATGAAAAAGTCTGTGCAATAGGTACGAATAAAAATGACTTTGAAATTTACTGTGCTCAACTTAGATATTTGTCGTCATTAAATCAAAGATACCAAGTTCTTTTAAATTTCCAAATGAATATCACTAGAAACTTTGATATGCAGAACTTCAACGACTATCTATGAAAACTAGGTCGAAAAATTAGGAAGTATTCAGTCAGTTTTTTCACATCAAAAGGTACAACATTTCTTCACTAATATCTCAACTAGCCATCCTGCTCCTTGAAAAATATGGAGGAATGACAGCTGTCAGGAAATATGAAGTTCACACAAATAAACCGAAGAAGTAGAAGGATCAAAAGAAAACGAAAAAAAATTCATTTTATGTTTGTAGGATTCATAAATTTTATGGTCAAAAGAAGGTATAGATAAATCAGGGTATTTCCATGATTCGAATTCAAAATATTAGTACTGAAATGCTCAAAAGAAATCCTTACTTCATAGACAGATAGCATCATTGTATGGTTTTCTGCCATGATATATTTTCCTACACTTAAGCATTTGTATTATGCGTATGCGGCATGTAATTTATAGCTGGGATAGCGTAAAGTAAACTCAATAAAAGTTGGTACCGTGACATGACATTTTCGTTTGCTGATGGTGTTGAAAAATACTGTTTGATAGACTGAGCACTTTTGGTGTTAATATCTCGGGAAGGTTGATAGGAAAAGACTGAAACATAATCAGCCATCACTTTAACAGGAATAACAGAGACCACTTAAGAGTGTCAGAGCAAAATTTTAGCTTTGCAGGTTTGACTAAAATAAGGTTTGCTTTTATGCAACCAACATTTCCGACTGTGTATCCTTACTGTTTCGAGGAAGATGTATTGAAATACCTTGTAAAAAGCTAAATATTCGGTTGATCAGCCTAGTCATAAATCAACAAAGACTATTTTATTAGTTGTATTCAGCAGGACTGTCAAACAAGCGCTGCTGATTAGTGGATGCGGTTTCATCTCACTTCACAGATTCAGTACTTTTAAAGAAACTTGTTAAACTCCTTGAGACCTGCAGCCACATGTCACTAATCTGAAAACATTTCACCTTTTGGCTGTTCAACACCATTAATTCAAATCTCATATTGAATGTTGCAAGAAGATAGAAACTTTACTGGTATGCCTAGCTCAGAAATACCACTTAGTTAGATACCTTCAGAATGTCACACATCCCTACAATTCTTCCATCCATCATCTTCTTTTTCGATTCAGTACCTCTTCATTATATCCAAATAATGCCAGCTACAGATTATTCGAATTTTACTGTTGCCAACTTTCTCTCTTTCCAGTCATTCCACCACAAAATACTGAAGTACCAGTAATAGGTAATTCATGATATAGCTGATGTAGATGTAGATATTTCAGTGATACAGATCCACTCAATTTTACTCCAACTTCCTTTCATTTTGGGCATCCCTATTCAATAAATTCTACTAATTATAACATAAACAGGTTTTCTTTTAGGAGACACCACTTTATCTAAGCACATTTCGTCTCGACCACTAAATTGTTATTCATTGTCATTACCTAACGATGAAGAAATTTTGTTCCATCTGATGGTTGGACAGTATTACTTTACTTCGAAATAAAAAAAACAGTTGTTATTTATTGACATTTCTAATTTCTTGTCATTAAACTAGATAGAATTGATCAAACTCCGTTAACAGATAGGCGCCTACACGAATGCCTTGGTGTTGCCTGAAGATTCATTATGTTTTAATTTGTATGGTAGGGGCTAGCAATAGAATCTGAGATGTGTGTCTCGTATCATTTGGGACTTGTCAGCTGGATGTATATGTATCCCTGTGAATGGGACTCGAACTCACCACCCATCGCTTCAAGTCACAGTGTGAACACCATTACTCAATGGGATGCAGTCACATGCAGCTGATGAGTCCCAAATAGGAAGACACCTACTTTCTTGATTCTGCTTCTGAGCATCACCAAACAAATTATGACAAAATAGTGTTTCACGAATGTTGAATGAAAATCCATAAATTTCATTTCATTTCATTTATTTCCACAATTATGTAATTATGTTTCGGGATGGAAATGCATATGAAATTTTGGCAAAATTCACACAACTGATGAAAAGTGTCTCCATACTCCTACGTTTATGTCACCTACTATGATTTCTTGCAGAGTTGATCACTTTGTAATTTACACTGTATTTTTGGGACAGATATTCCAATATGATCGTATTTATTCCATTTTGCTTTCTTTGCTTAAAATCTATAAGTACTAGAAGACTATGGAAACGAATAATAAATAATATTAACAGTCTAGGACTATCATATAAGTTCCAAATGAGCTACGATTAACCTAAGCCACTGTTTCGTGAATGAATTCATCGTTTACGAAAGTTAGTCGTGAAACTAATTAAGAATGGCTGAAATTTTAACTAATTATTCTTAATTTGTCATGAAAAGGCAACACTACAAGCTTAGCTATATCACTATATCAATAGTTGTATCGATAGGTGAAAAGAAAACTCAGTGTATTGAAGATAGTGTTTACAAGTTGTGATGGCGGATGATGACGAGAGAAGTATGTAGCTTTTGTTTTAATATTCCCATAAAAAACAGATTAATTGACACATGGAAGTAGGGATAATAAATAACTGACGAGCCCCAAGTAAGA